CCCCAAAACCCCAAAACCCCAAAACCCCAAAACCCCTAGTTCTGATAACTTATTGGGAAATAATAGTTCGTGAATACTCACCGAATTAAAAGATTATTCTCAGTATCCATATCATCCGGAACTTCCATATTTGCTTCCACATTCGTAGCAAAACTTGCATTGGCACCTACAAATGATTTGGTTGCAGCCATCTTTTCGTTGGACCCAGAACTTGCACTCAGGGCATTGCTGGAACATTGCTTGCTTAGTCAGGATATAGAAGTTCACGTCTTCAGGACTTGTCTCTTGCATTTTGGAAATCTCCTCACAAGTATATCCCTGATGCCAAGGAGTTTTACATTTCAGGCAAACCACTAAGGAGCAGACAGGGCAGTGCTGGTGTGGTGACTGACCTTTGGTAAAATCCCATTCGAACACATTGGTGCAGTCAGGAGTCGGGCAGAAATGATAAAAGACTGAGTTTTGTTCAACGAATAATTCCAACTGGAACCTCTGCATTCTCTCAAATAGCTCATGCTCAATGATACTTCTAAGATCAGAATCAGGGATTAACTTCCGACAATCTTGGAGAGGACATTTTATTGGCAGAGACTTTGAGCCTATCAGAAGCCTAATATAAGTCTCCATGCATTCTGTGTGGAAGATGTGCCCACATTCCACAGATCAAAGGTCCTCTGTCTTAATCTGACTTAGTCATATTGGACACTCTGAATAATTTTGATGAGGTGTGTCTAAAAGATAACTAGTAGTCTTACTTCCTCTGAGTCTTGACCATGTTCGACCCATGAAGTTTCTCATTGAGCCAAATGACCTCTTGAAGCTCTTGAGAAAAGTCATTTCTGGGAAAACAATTGAACTGCTTTGGTCCCTCCTCTTTTGTCATTCAGGAGTCTCCAGGTTATCTGAAGGTGTTGATCTTAAGGAATCTCTATAAATATGTCATTTCTCTAGCATAATAAAAGTTAGTTGAACAGAAAATTTTTGGTAAAGTAGCAGCTAGCTATCAGCCCTAGTGTCCTCCCAAACGGTGAGAACGATTGGTTAAGATATTTCGACCGAAAAACTGCCAAATTCTCTATTAGTGAAAATAGATTAGTGAATAACATGTTATAATGAATTTTACATGTTCTCTGATTGTTCTTCATCAATTTTCAATACTTCGTCCTTCTTGATGTTTTCTCTCAGAAATTCGTCAGGACTTGGATGGAAATATGGAAGTTTGAAGACATTGTTCAGACATTCAGGAGCCAACAGAAATCTGAAGATATCCCCAGCTTCAGGACTGCTAGGACCAAGAAGTTCTATCTTAGATTGGATCCTAGAGGTGACTTCCAGAAGAGCTTCTGGTGAAGACTCTTCTAGGAATGCATGATAGTTGAGACCCATCAAGAACATCAGGATAGGATTATAGTCCCTGCACTCAACCAGGATCATGTCTATTACATGCTCTAAGTCCTTGCTCTCATGCTTCGACATTTGGTCTTGCTCAGTAAATTCATTTAGTGTGAATTTAGTTTCCATTTAGATATTTAATTGCAAAACTCACAAATTTCAACGCCTTTTATCCATCCTGGGGTTTTGGGGTTTTGGGGTTTTGGGG